CGGGGGTTCTCCAAGGGAAGCAGAGCCGGGAGGGGCTGGGAGGGGGTCGCTGACTGCGGAGGGGAAGGTGGTGTGTTGTGCTGGTTGTGGGGTGGCACCGGCTGTGGTTTTGGGGGCTCGGCTGTGTCTGGGTGATGCGCTGGTGCCAGCAGCGATGGGCTGGGTGTCTGGGAGAAGAAGGTCACGTCCGGAGTTGGTGCAGGGATGCAGACCGTGCCGGTGTGTGTCAGGAGCACAAGGGAACAGGGATAGCCCAAATTGTCCAGCGTTTTCACCCCCATTCCCCTGCGTGCTGGGGACAACCTGCGGAGGCACCGGGGGGGCTCTTGGGTGGCCCTGAGCTCAGGGGAGCGTGAGGTGCCTCACATCGGTGTGGGAAGAGACGGGAGAAGGGATGGAAATTTGGAAAAAAGGCCGTTCCAGTGTGGCTGGTCTGGGTGGGCAGGTTGTTATCCGGGAGACTGGAGCTGGAGTGGGGTGATTTATGGGGTGTTTATTCTGGTGTGTGGGAAGAGCTGGAGCAAAGCGGGGCTCGGGATGGAGCCGCCGCTCCTCCGCAGGCACCTGGAGAAGGAGTTCTGTGGGGCTGGGATTGGTGCGTGGTCCATGCTGGGGATGTTGGGCGCTTTGGGCCGTAATTCCCAGCCCCGTTTGAGATTCCAGACGTGGCGTTGGGGTTTCCCAGTGAGGAGATCGCGGGGCTTTGCCAGGTGGGGGGCCTGGATAATTTGACCAGGAGAGGTTGGGAAGGGAGGACGAGCAGAAATCCTTGTGGTGCCCCGAGCTGCCCTGGCAGCAGCTGCAGTGGGAATCTCTCCTTGGCTCGTTCCTGTCTCGTTTTAGGGGTGGACTCTGCTTTTGTCAAACAAACCCGATTCAATTCCCGTTATTTATTTATTTATTTCACACGTGGGTCGTTCCTCGCCTGCGTTACTTCATTTCGGGTTATTTCCATTACGTGTCTTGTGTGTGTTTATTTATTTTGAGGATTTTTTCACACACAGATAAAAACAAAACCACTGAAAGCGCCCGTTAAAATTAGACCCTTTTTCTGCTTAAAATCAGGGGCACACATGTGATTTCTTTTATTGGTATCATGTGAAAAACCTGTCTTGGTGTGATGTTGTGGTTGTGCTTGTTGCTGGGGGGTGGTTTTCAGAGTTAAAATAGAGGAACTGATGGGATTTAAGGGGCTTTTTTTCTGCCTAGTGAAGAAGAGAGAGATGGAATTTTTCCTCCCTCTTCCCCCATTGCAGGAACTGTTTGGCTTTTCTGTGCTCAGGAATTCATGATATCTCCAGATATTGTGGTGATCATTTCTTAGGCTGATCCACGGATTCCCCAGGATCACCAGAGGGTTTAAATGCCAAGAGCTCTTGTTTTATAACAGCAATTCCGAGGTTCCCTTCCAAAATCTTTCCCAAGACATTGGTGCAATCTGCCAGTTATCAAGTAGTTCCCAAAAGTATTGAAATTTTACCTTCAGGATCCCAAAGGAAAACTACACCCATATTAAAAAAATAATGCCAACCTTTTGAAGCCTTAGAGAGTGGGGTTAATTGATCGTTTTCTTGTTGAAATCTGACTGGGATACAGAAAATATTTAATCGTGGTTTGGTTTTTGTTTGGTTTGTTTTTTTTTCCTGTAGGTGAAAGTCACGCAAGAGCTAAAAAACATTCAGGTTGAGCAGATGACAAAACTTCAGGCCAAGCACCAAGCAGAATGTGAGCTCCTTGAAGACATCAGGTAAGGCTCCAGAAAGCGTTCCCAAAATTCCTTTAAGGTCCAGTTTTTGGAAGAACGTTGGAGTTACAAAATTCAGGAACTGACGATGGAATTTCCTCTTTGGATTTCCTGCTTTTGGGCTGTTAAAGTTTTGACACAGCTGGAAATTATAACTGGAGCTCACACAATGCAAACCATTTTTTCTTCTCTTCAATGGGGGAAACGTTAAAAAAAAAAAAAAGGGTCACAAACAACATAGAAAAAGCCCTGGACTTTTCAGCAATTTATTTCTTTTTATAATAGACTCAGACTTTGATTTACAGGTTGTAAAAGGCTGCTAAAATTATTAAGATATTTTCAAGCCACTGCTGATTTGTGTCTTGGGAGAGAGAGCTTTGAACAGCACTTTGAGACATTGCATTTTTTAATGAGAAAGAAGATATTTGCATTTATGATTTCAAATTCTGCCTGGGTTGGGGACAAGAGGGAAAATCTCCACGACATCAGCGTGTGGGGGTTTATTATTAATTCTCCCTAACGAGATTGTTTCTTTGGAAATTAAAAGTTTGCTTCTAAAACATGGTGGCAGTGGGTACCTGGAATTACATGGAGGATTAATCATTCCATTTGCAGTGGATCCATTTCCAGGCTGGGAAATATTCAGCAATAATAGTGTCGTCCGCTTGTTAATTATTTAAATGAGATTTCCTGCTTTATATTTGTCTATAAAATGCAAGTGTTTGGCTTTGCCAGGTTGGTTGTCCTGTTCTCCCAGTGTCCTCTCCTGATAAATCAGAATTTCATGGCTTGAGCTTTCTCCCCCTTGTTTTTTAGGGGTGGAAACACTTTTTCCTATGGGAAAGGTCCCAGTGTTCGTTTCCTTGGATAAAAAATTTTGTTTAAGTCACAAATGCTGAGTAATAAGGAACGGGCTGATCCAAGGAATTTTCCCCCCTTAGATGGAAACTTATTTTTAGAACATCTAGGCCAGGTCCTGCTGCTCTAGGCCAGGTTTTGTAGCACTTGCTGGTTTTCAGGAGCTTATAAACCCTTCAGCGTGTGTTCTGCTGAAAGATGGCACAGGGCTTAATTTTCTCGAATGTAATTTAATTGCTGCAGTTAATTAAATCTGCGAGTTTTAACGGCAGGGACAAAGAAACCAGGTTAATGTATTTAATATATTGAATTCCCTGCCGTGGCCACTGAATGTGTGGAGCCTGTGTTGAGCACTGGTTGCTGTGTGGATTTACAGATTAAACATTTGTTGTGATGAGATTGGATGTGACAGCTCAGTTGTGGCAGTGATTTGTTCAAATATCAGCGAAAAAAAACCCAGAGAGAACAAGAGATTTTGGGTTAAAAACATGTGCTGGACAAGTTTGTGGTGTAGAGGCCTTTTAATTGATTTAATTGAACCTCGTCCTGTGCTGGTCAGTGGGTGATGTTTGGGAGAAGTTGGGTGTCAACCTCGTCGTGATATCACTTTAATAATATCACTTTGGATTTAATAATGGCACTTGAATTTCGGGCTGTGTTCAGGAGAGGCGGCCACCGTGATTCCAGAGCATTCCAGAAAGCTGGAACCACGCACAGGATCTTCGCTGCCTCTGGAAAAAAGGGATTATTTTTCTAGAAAGCCCCCTGCTGTTATCCAGTAAAAGGGAATTTTAGCTGAATGCTGTTTGCTTGTCAAGACTTTGGGGCATTTTGTAGCACTTTGGAAGCTTTTGGGCACAACTTCGTCCTCCGAATTCCAGAAACTGAAGTGGCAACAGGAAACACTGAACCAGGGCTTGGGTTAAAATATGACTTTGTTACAAAGAATGACTGTATTTGTTGGCACAGAACTGCTCCATACAATGCTTATAAACCATAGGGTTTATTTAGGATGTAAAGCTCTGAATTGCGTTTTTTTTTCCAGCACTTTGGTTTGGTTTTTATGCAACTAAAAAGCAGAAATAAAAGGAAAAGATCACAGAGTTCCAGCAGAATAAACCCATTGTCTGGTGTATTAGGGGATGATTTTTGGCAGCCATTCCAATGGCTTTGATATCTTCATGCAAAACTGAGCACTCCTTTAAATGGTTGGAGTTGGGAGGTTTAAATTATAGCATTTTGGAGAGGATGAAGAGCAAACTATTTATTCCAGGCTGGATTCTTGGTCAGGGTTGAGGTATCTGTGTGGAAATACCTTTTCTCCAGCCCCTCTGCAGATCCTTAATCTCTGTGAGGGCTCTGCATAGACAAACCCACCAGTTTAGTGCGTTTAAAATATATTTAAATCTAAAATATATCCGATAAGACAGCGTTTAATGCCGGATTCAGGTCCTGGAGGGCAGGAAAAAGAGGGAACACGTTGGGCTTGTGAAAAGCAGACCTAGGATTGCTCAAACTGTGTTCTGGGGGAAACTGGGCTGGGAATTAGGGGAGTTCTGACGCGCTGTAAAACTCTGGTATATCCCAAAATATCAGCATTTCAGCCTTACAAACTCCCGAGTCTCCCTGGGGAAGCTCAGCAGCAACTAGAGCTGAAATCTCAGGACTTGACAAGACTCCATAAAAACAGTGTTTGAGATGTTTAGCAAATAGGCTTGAAAGCACATTTCTGTGTTTGTCATCTCAGTTTGGCTCTGTGGGCTCCGTTCCTTCATGCTCAGTGAGTGGGGAGTTTGTGGAATGAGTGATTCAGGAGGCTTTCAGCATCTCAGGCTGGGTTTTAGGCGTGACATGTTTATCTGCTGCAGCTGACTGAGGCTGTCACATCCCTTCATGTGCTACATCTGTGCTGGTGTTACTATAAAAAAGGTTGTTATTCTGCCATGGTGATGGAGGTAGAGGTTTTCCCCCCCCACAAATACATGTTTTGTTGCTGTGAACCAGAAAACCTTTTAGGTTTTTTTTTCTGGTGCTTCTTCCCTCTGTCCCCACTGGCTGCTTTTAGGCAGGGAATGAATTAGTTTGGAATTCCAGGGGCCAGCTGGATTATGAAAGGCTGAATTTATCAGAGGGGTTGGCAATTTTCAGGTGTTTTATATTGCTTTCAGGATTGCCTGATTGGACTGAGGGTAGTAAATAAGTCACAGCCAGAGCCTGCAGTGGCCCTTGGGCTGCTGAACACAGAATCGTAAAGAACTCTGTATAATCCACCTTTTAATTCAACTTGGTGTTTCTCTAAGGTGTTTATATGCTACAGACTTTATACACTTGTGAACTGACGGTTGTTTTACCTTGAATTTTAGGCCCTGCTTTTCCAAAGCACTTGATAGGCCTTTACAGCTTTGGGTATCCTGAAATGTCCTTTTTGAAGCTTCCCATTTGTGTTTTGCCAGAGAGAATGAAATCGTGGTGAAGTGTCTGTTCTAATGTGTTCTAGAGCCTGGACTTTAGTCTGGACTAAAGTTCAGCTGATTCTGCTGCAGCAGAATGGATTAGGGAGCTCAGCCACCTGAAATCAAACCTTCCCTGCCTTTTCTCCCAAGTCTTTTGGTAAATCCTGTGCCACTGCTGGAATGAGAGGGAGGAGGGATGAGGAGGAAGGAGAGGGAAGCAAGGCTGGGCAGCAGCATCCCGGCTTCATGTGGGTTTAAAGTCACCATCATAGGCCCAGCCTAAAGCCCCTGTGGAAGGCACAGCTGCTGCTTTGGGATTTCCAGCTCTGGAAACTCCACCTGATTTAAATCTGAAGTAATTCTGGCTGCCTGGATGTGCTGATCCTGTGTTGCTTCAGCCTTATAAGCAAGTGGAAATAAGGTGTAAAAAAATGTCCTGATTTCTGGCTGAGATGGAATAACAACGTGGTCCTTTTATTTGTTGGGTCCTGAATTTAGTTTTAGTGGTTCTTTTTGCTTTCAACTCCATGCATAGTATGAAAGGAATTGCCAAAATCCCAGGCTCATGACCTACCTGTGCTCCTGATACAGATGCAAATCTACATGCAGAGATTTCCTTCTGTTCCTTTGCCTCTTCTGTCCTCGTGGTTTCTTCTTCCTGACTTTTTCTTATTTAAAATATCTTCCCATTGTCCATTATATTGCCTATTGTACCCTGTAAATTCGTCCTGCTTATTTTTGGTAAAGCTGCTCTCACTCTCTGTTTAATTCCCCTCCCTCCTCCTCTTTGGGGGGTATTTTCTACCTTCCCCCCACAGCTCTGCCCTCCGAGCCAGTTCTTTTCAATTTATCAACTTCCTGAGAAATTAGTTGTACTTTTTCCTCCCAGGTGCTTCATCCCTCCCCTTTCTTTACCCGGTTCTGCCCCTGTGAATTTTAATTAGCCCTTTGTTTCTGAGGTTTGATGTTCAGCTGTAAGGTGAGTTATTTGCCAAGTGGGGAGACCTCGTGGCTCTTCCTGAACAATCCAAGCCCTTCCAAAACAATCCAAGCCCTTCCAAATCTTGGATTTTGTCGCTTCTGCTCTGCTGAGGTGTACCAGGACTAGATTTGGGACGGGATCAGTAATTCCAGGGCAGGATTTGTGGTTTTATGGGCAGGATGAGGCCGGAGCACTCCTCGTGTGTCTCGTGCTGCCCCAACAAGCCCAAACGAGCAGCCCGAGGGGGGGGTTTAAAGAAAGAAAGTAAAAGTGTGAATGAACCTGGATCCGTGAGCAGGCAGTTGCTGCTCGTTTGAACATGTCATTTTGTGTTCTGAGTTATGCTCCACTTAGCAGAGTTCCAGGGAGGCTTTTTGCTCTCGGATATACTTTGTACTCCGCCGTGGAATTTGACGGTGCTGTCGTGTTGGCAGGTTCCTGATAAGGTTTATTGGAGTTCTGGCTGGAGTGGGAACTTTTATTCCCGTTTAAATCTAATCCAGCAGATCATGGAACGGATCCTGTGCTGGGGAAGAGCTTCACTCCAGCCCAGAAAATGAGCAGCTGGAGAAGGAAACTAAAATAACATGGATTTATAGGGCTTTGGAGCCATATTTATTAGGATGCCATAAGGGATGCTGAAAAATCAGGAGAAAGCTTTCCTTTTCCTGCCCTTTCTCCCTGTTCTTCCCAGTCTCTCCAATTTATTT